CAACACCTGCCAGGGTCTAAGAAGTGTTTCTACCAACTTCAGCAGGGGCTGGGATCAAGCCTGAGGCTGGGCCTCCCAAAAGGCCATCTCTGGAGATGCTGAACATATTTATTTCTCAGGGAATGCAGCAGAAGCTGAGGGGAAGGAGAACCTGGCAGATTTAGGAGCACTAGGTCTAACACAGACCTCTGGATGTAACAGGTCCCATGGTGGCAGCAGGACACAGGAGCCCCCCAGCAGCTTGGCAAGGGGAGCAAACATGCCCTGTGTGATGCCAGGGGGCAGAAACACCCCAGGTCCCAAGCACAGGGAGGGGAATCTTCACACTGAACATCTGCAGGGCTGAAAACACAATGGGAGCCAACGGTGACAGAGTGTGGGTGGTGGAGAAAACTGGAGGATGATGATAAGAAACGGGAAAAAAGCTTCAGTTTGATGTATTTAATACTGCTTGTCCTTACCACACAGACTGATTTCTTCCCTTGGCCATTGGTTGAAAAGGTATTTCCACCTTAACCACTTGTGTACTTTTTTAAAGATAGGAGTGTCTCCACTATTGCTGCCACAGAAGGTGGAAGGGAAGATGTATTTCACATTAAGATAAGCAACACCTGTGTTTGATGTTAGGAAAAACACTATCAAGAAAAACCTTCTAACAAATGAGGTCAGTTATTCTCTCCAATGGTGGAGTCATTGCTTCTAAACACAGAATATATGAGATGAAAATTCAAAATATTCTGGTTACAGGCTCTCCTGCTACTTTCTTCCACAGCCTAGTGAAAAACCCATTTGCACCACAGTGTCTTCATAGTGCAGAAGGTCCCCTCTGCTCTGACACAGGTGTCTGGAGATATCCTCAAGCAGCTAGTGGGGAAAAAAAAAAACTTTTTTCAGAAGCTGGTGAGGGACTCCTAATTGCTACTGAAAATATTTTCAAAGCAGCAGAGCAGCCAGCAGTCCCAGCTCCATCCCAGAGGCAAACACAATTTATTTGTCATGTTTCAACAATTTTTCTGCTGTTCATACAGTGTAATTAATCACTTGGCAGGCAGGGGAACACACAGAGGACTGAAAAGACAGCTCATTCTTTGATATGCAGTGATTGTCCTGTACTTTGGGAAGAGACAGATTCACTCTTATTTACAGATGGGAACAGAAAAAAAAAAGGTATGTGGCAAGTCAATACAGCAACAATTAATAAGAAACAAACAGCTTTGATTGAAACAAGGACCTGCCATTATTGCTCCTTACAATATGCTCTTCCACTGGGTTTACACATATGGCTTTTGGCCATTGATTCCAGCTGAAAAGGCAACAACTCACATGTAAAAACAGCCTGTCCCTTGACAAGGAACACTCAGAAGTGCCCTGCTAGCTGATGGTGAGAGGCTCTGTCACTCAACCCCCTCTTCTGTCACCTACTGGGGTGGTCTAGAGTCAGGCTCCCTTCACATTTGAGCAGCCAGAATACACCAGGTGAAGAGCTGACAAAGGAGCTCCTGCTCCAATTCCCATTTCCCTAAACTTAGAGCACCCAGACCCACAGCAGTGCCTGTCAGGGCCTGCAGTGCAAGCCTTGGCCAGGGAGCTGCAGATGCAGCCAGCCTCTCTCCCCAGTCCTGGGCTGGGTGCCCGGGCAGCCCGAGCCAGCCCGTTGGAAATTCGAGACACAGGCACTCTGCTTTGTTTGAGCTGGCTCAGTTGGGCCTGGCTGTGCACACACAAACTTCAGCTGTGGACTTTGTGTTGGTTACCACCTCCAAAAGGCTATCCAAGGGCTCTGAAGTGCTACTAGATGCCCGTCACAAAGCAAACTGGACTAGGGAGACTTTTGTCTCCCTTCAAACCGAAGCCAAAACAAGAGTTGAGGCCATAGCAGCAATCACTGGGAAAGGAATTTGGGATTGACAAAACGGCTTTTGGCAGATTCTGAGTATTTCTATTACCTCTCTAAAGGCTGTGAGAGACAGAAATTATACTAATGAACAGCACTTGACTGAAGCAGTGCCTCAAATGGAGCACAATACAGATTTTAACCAAATCAACAGACTCAACTCACAGACAGAAAAGGTTTATTTCTAGGTCCCAGAGCTGAAGGGCTCTAGAGCTGCTATCTCCTAACTGCAATCCCATCCTCCTAAGTTTCTTTGGACCAGCTGTCTCTGGTCCAAAAAGAAAACACACTCTGCAGCCAGAATCAATGCTGATGGAAGCCAGTGGGACATCCTGCAGTAACCCACAAAAGTCACACTCCTTATGTTCTGTATATCACACCTTAACAGCCTTGAGCTCAAAGGCAGAGCTCTCTATTTGCCTGTGGTATCACTCTCACAGCCTCTCAATACAGGCCATTAAGAACCTTCCATGGAATGGCCCTTACATTTTGAATTGCATACACAATAGGATTTTTTTTCTGCCTTCTTTTTTTTTGACAAAGTCTTCAGACATTAAAAGCTTGTTGGCTTTTGCTCTGTGTTTACACTGAAGAAAAACAAAAATTAAAATCAGACAATTTAAAAAAATGTCAAATGAAATGCCCCACGCTCCTGGTATCAGGGGGTTTTATATTAAAAAAAATGATTTTAAAGTATTTTTATACAAAAATCCCTTTAAATTAATTGCACTCAGTTGATTTTAATTAAAGGCTTGAGGCTTGGCAGTTTCTTCCCCATTTGATTCAACACAAGCAAACAGCTGGACCAGTTCAGCACTTCACAGTGGCTCCTGCCACTTCATCCCACCTCTTGGAATCACCTTTACCTCTTCGGTTTGCTGCCTTTGGGCTTCAGAAAGCTGCGATACAGGGAGGGGCTCTTGGGAGGGGAAGCAAAAGTGAGAGGACAGGGGAAACTTCCTTTCAAGTCCTCAGTGCAGAGACAGCATAACAATGAACCAGCTCAGAACCTGCCTTTGTGCAAGCACAGCCCCTTGGGTGCAATAAAAAAGACGCACTCCCTTTTAAAGTATCTGTTTGTAGCATCACAGCAGTTGTGTCCTCCTGCTGCCTGGGAATCTGAGTGCACCTGAGAATTAGAGAGACATGCAAAGGGCGTCTGGGCTGAAAATCAGATTAGACGGGCAGCTGCCATTTGTGCCAATGGGAGCTGCCCACAAACTTGATTACAGCACCAGGAATTGACACTCATTAAGGTCTGGGAGATGCAAGGACAGCTTACACGTTTGCCATATGTTTTTCTTTGGGAACGGGGAACAAACTCCATGAACGGTGATAGCCTCAAACCCTCGGTTCTCCTCTGCTTCATCAGCGAGAAAATCCCAGCTTCCTGCCACAGCAGAGGATCCTTAAGGCAGGAGCAGAGGCTGTTCACGCCTTTTCCCTGTCTATAGCTGACATCTAGCGAACAGTTTCCAAACTGCACCTGGAGGACCTGGAGATGGGAGATGGAACCAGCCCCTCTGGAGAGCAGCGGTGCAGAAGAGCCGTGGGAGAAGCGTGGGATGCACAACAGTGCACACCATTCCCTGTTCTCTCCCACACGACAGCTCACCTGGCCTGGGCAGCTGTGGAAGGACCTGGTTCTGCTCCCAGGCTGCACAAATCCCACACTGGGTCTATTAAAGTTGACAAACACTGATGCAGGACCCCACTGCAGTGGTGCCACCCCTGCAGGGACCATCCAGGGGGCTGGTGGACATCAGGAGTGACCAGCAAGGCTTCCAGCACAGCAGGGTCAGGTCAGCTCTTTCTGAGGGAGGGTCACCCTCTGCCCCCTCCCTCTCCAGAGGCACAAATCCAGCACTCCAATGGGGAACTCAGCAGCTGTTACCAGGATTAGCAACTGCAATTCCAACCCTCAGGCTCTCCCGGAGGACGGATGGCAGAAGAGGTGCAGTTGCAGAGTTTAGCAGTTTGTCTTCAAGAGCTCTCCCCAGCACATCTTTGCATGACAGCAGATGTGAAATCTCTAAGGAATACAGACCCAATTGTCACCTGCTCTCAAAGAGTGTCAGAACCAGTCTGCATAGCAACAGGAGAACATGGACTGTGTGCAGAGCCTGTCTGCATTTTATAGCCTCTATCAGCTACTGCAAACCAAGCAGTTTGGTTTATGGCATCTATTAAGGTAACCAAGCAACAGCATGGTGGGTATCTGTGTCATCAGTTACAAAACCCAGGGGTTTAGAAACAAGCAGAGTGGTGATGGGCACTGAGGTGCAGGAAATGTCTCTGTATTTTTTGTATGGACTGTGAAACCGTTCTGTGTAACTGCAGCTCACCAGCACACTTATCACATCCTTCCTCAATACCTGAGAATTGTCCTCACACTTCACTACCTGTGAAGGTGAAATGCTTTTCCTGTTGATTTCTGTATTATTTGCAGTCTGTAACACCACTGACACACAATCCTCCTCTGAAAGCACGATGCTAACTGCACCTTTAATCTTTACGTGGGGGGAGGTGATTAAAACCAATGTAAAGTGAAGAAGGGACAAAGAGATGCTAAAAGGAAAACATAGCAGTGCTCTACTTCTTAGACTGCACAGACACTGACAAATTAAGGATACAAATGAGGACCTTTAATGGTTTAAAATATGCTACACCCACCAGCCAAAATAACAGCAAAGGTTTCCAATGGTTTCCAATTGTTTCTGCTTCCCAACAGCTGTTGAGGCCCTGTTTATTATCTGCAGAAGGTCCCTAAGGACTTGTTCACCTACAGTTTGACTGATTTAATTAGATACAAATCAGTGTTTTCCACTTGTGAGGTGCCAGCGATCTTGTACAGGGATCTCCCTTCACAGCCAGGTGAATACTGAGGCTTGTGAGAGGAATATCACCTAAATGCTAAATACTTTCCCATCAGTTAACCCGTGTTAAATGCAGTTAAACAGTATGGACGGCTTGCTAACAACCACGAACCTATGAAGAGTCAGTCAATAGGCCAAGTAAAACAACAACATTTACAATGATCTAACTAAACATCACTCCAGAGGCTTCCTCAGCCCACTAACATGAGGCCCAATAGTGCTTCTCTTACCTGGTAATAGTAATCAACATATTGTGGCTGGTAGTGCTGGGGCTCAGCGTTTTCAGGAGACAGGACATCTTTTAGCAACTCTTCACAGCCTGGCAAAGAGAAACAAGAGGAAATGGTCAGGCCAAGAGCTTATCTTCCATTACATGGACAATGGAGGAGGAAACACTGGTTTCTAGCCAATCTGCATGCACAAAACTTTGGAAGGCAGTTTTGGGATTTATTTAAATAGGTGTAACACGACTCTGCCTTCAGAGCTCTGCCCAGCACACATTCAACATGAGGAACTTGAAAAGTTCAATTATTTCAGCATGGATACACCAGCCTGCAATGAAACTGAAAGCTGAGCATTGCTTGGCTTGGTAAACTACCCTGTGGGGTACAAACCCACCTCTAACCAAACCAGGCTCTGGAGTCAAACATTGGATTTGCAGGCTTGGCATGAGCTACCAACTACTGCACATCAGTGTCAGGTGGAGCTGCTTCTAATTTTCTCTGGTCCAAATGACAAAGGGGCAATGCCTGAGTGTCACAAATCCACCTTCAAAAAAAGCTTTGTCACAGAGTGTTTCACAAGCAAATATCTGTGCACTGTAACCAGAGATTTGAAGATTGTGTGTTTGCTTTTGTTAACAACCACATTAAGAGCTGGAAAAATCAATGTCTGTGTTTCCCTCAGTCCTTCTCTCATCTGAAAACCTGAGACAAATATAGAAACACTGAAATCACCAGATGCCTCGTTCCCCATTAATTACCAGTGACTCCACTTGGCAGGGAGAGCTGCAGAAGGCAGCAATGACAGGCCAGGTTATTTTAGAGCACCCAGCTCACACAGCCTTGGGCCCAGACTGTGTGAAACCTTCTCAGCATGTGTTGTGCACTATACTGCTTGGAAGCTGCAATTGCCCAGCAGTTATTCCTCCCTTCCATCCCAGCACTAATGCAATATATTGGCTGTGACATTACACCTGGATACCGCTCCCAAAGCAGGTGAGTCAGAGGAAACAGGGTGATGGAAGGAACTGTGAACTGAACAGGTTTATACCATTAGCTGACCTTTTCTCCTGGCTTTACATGAAGGAATAACATCTGTAGGGATGAAGACATGTTGTGGTTATGGAGAGGAGTCCCTTGCAAAGGAAAAGAGTAGTTTAGAAACCAAAAAAAAATGACCAGCTGGAGAAGCCTAATAGAGGGATCACTGTGCTGTCCCTGTCTGCCACACACAGGCACATGTCGAGGTAGCACCTGCTGAATGGAGACATCATTAAGACTTCAGAAATGTCACATGGACAAAGGCAGCAAGACTTTTTTCTTCCTTTTCAGCTTCTGCAGCAAAGTGAGAGTCTCAGGTGTTACTGAGCAGATAAATGAGGATAAATGAAGCTGTTAAATGCCCACTTTGCTGGAGAAGTTCGTGGACAAGAATGTGTGCTAGGGTCACTTCCCAAAGAGGAGTTTATCTGGGATTAACAATCAAAAACATAATCTACTGGCTGACAGGGGAAAGATGTTAAACTTGTTTGCCTGGAGAGAGCATCTTTCTATGTAACTTGCCCTACCTGTAACTGTCACATTTCTCACACAGCCATAATCCTTTTCTGCCTTTTGATTTTAGCTTAAAGTGCCCTGTGCTTGCCTAAGGTTATTTGCTAGTCCTCTCACAGAGGACTATTCAATTTATTGTTTCTACCTTTTGACATTAACAACTAAAGCTTATTGCTCATCAAACTGCCTTGTGCCAGCACCCACAGTGAGACTCATCACACTATGAACTGCTTTGCTAAAAGATGGAGCAACTATTCCTCAAAGTGAGTTACCTCCAGCAAAAAAGGAAAATAAATACCAAGTGCTACACAGTAATGGATGCAGATTAGTGTAATGAACAGAGTATGTTTACAGTGTTCTAGAATTTCTCAACAACAATAGTGTACACCGTAATTCCAAGCTTTACTTTCCTAATACAGTTGTGCTCACAACAATTCTCTCCGAATTTTCTTTTTTTTAGTGGGGAAAGGTCACAAAAGTTGTGGGTCTTCAAATGAGGATTTAACTGCCCAAAACAAGGGTGTGAGAAATGTTTCTACCTTTCCTCCTGTCAAAAGGCCAGCCAGACTGGTCTGTTAGAGCTAGAGTCACAAACAGCTCCCAGATCTCCAGGGTCTGAAATGCAGACTCTTCTGTGTCCCCTCTTTGCTTTTAATTTCTTACCTAAGATTACTCCTGATCACATTCTTTCATTTCCTTTGTTCATTAGGGAGAACCACTTCATGATAGCTCTTGATTTATTCAGTAAAAACACTGTGGAGAAAAGCATTGACTCCTTTATATCCAGCTGACTCAGTGCAGCCCTCACCACTTCACCAGAGCCACCTGACCCAGGCTCTTACAGCCTGATCCAGAACCTGGCCAAGCACCAAACCCACTTCCAGAACATCAGCAGCCATTTGATCACCAAACTGCATAGCTTAAAATGGCAAACAAAGCCAAATCTTGCTTTTAGTGTAGTCACAGGCCAGGTTTCCATCGGTGCTGGCAGATTGAGGGCATAAGTTCATCTGAGCCATTCTCCTTCTGCCAAGGGAGTTTTTAGCGGGGTGTCTGGGTGTGCAGCAGGCAGTTTCCCCTGTGCACTGCTCTTCATGCAAGCTGGCACGACAGCCTGGCTCTCTTCATCCTCCTGGGAAGATCTGCATGTCATTTTACTCCATTAAAAAGGGAAGAAGAGAAGGAAATGCTGAGAGACCATTTTCCTCTGAGATTACTAAACCACATCATTGCTACCTTGCAGACGTGTGAACCTGTTCCAACATCCAGCAAATCAATGAAAAAATGGCCACTGGATTTAAAAATCTCAAGATTGTGCCACTTTTTTAATGCCTGTTAAGAACAAGTTCTCCGTTCTCCTCTTCTCTGTGAGGACACAAATTGGAATCTCTTCACTCCAGAGGACTGATTTTTTCTTTTCCTTGGTTCTTCCTTCATCCCTTTTCACCAGGAACCAAGTCAGGTGATGAATCAGCTTTCTTATTCAGTGTTTTTCTACAGCAGTGCCAATGCAATCTCACCTTTTGCTCCCTTCATCTAAATATCTAATTTGAATTTTTCAGGTACTCCAGGAGGGTTACACAATGGTGTAACATAAAGAGAGAACACTGGAGTGTCTCAAATGCTGTGCCATGTGTGCTCTTATTACCTAGGACATGTTCTTATTAGAACACATCCTGGCTTGCAGTCTGGGAAGCACAGTGAGCTAAATTAGTGTGTCACAGTCTAGACAGAAAATCAAGGTTTACTCTGGCAAATCTCAGTATGGAAATGGGAAGGTACTGGACAAAGATGTAGCAGAACCACTCCTGAGCAGAACCCCATGTGCTGAGATCTGCAGAACTGCCGTGGTGGATATTTCAAGCTGTGCAGCAGTGTGCACCCAAGGCTAGAATCTGTCCAAAAATAACCCATTGCAATGAAGCAAAGGAATAATTCCTGGCTACTTTACGGGCCTCTTGCACTAGAGATGTCCCATTATTGCTATAAATTCATTTTCCTGGAAAAGGTAGAACTGAAAGCCACTTACATGGCTGATTAGAGATATTTCATTTGGATGTCTACCTGTATCATAAGATATTAATGTGCTCAATGTTCTCTCTCCTTTGCTGCAGTTGGGAAAATTTCACCTACATTTCTGGGCAGCACTTGGCAAGAAGACCTAGCTGCACTGAAATAACAGTGAGGAAGCAGAGAGAGGAAAGAGCAAGCCAGGAATAGCTCCAGGTCCTTGTGCACCCATTGCTGCAGCCCCACTGAAGGGTGCCCTTTATGGAGAAAGCACTGGGAAAGGCTGTGCTCGATGTAAATCACTGTGACACAGACTGGCAGCAAGCTTGTGTCTGGAGAAAGGACTAAACAATCAGATCACAAAATGAGAGTAGCCAGAAGCTGCTGAATTTTCTTTCCTGGCTAAAAGCACCTGATGAGCCAGCACGGAAGCAGCTTCTCTGTCCACTCAAGAAACTCTTTGAAACGTGGATGTGTACGAGTTCTAGTTTAACAAAGCACTGAGTCACTCTCTAGCCTGGTCTGTCAACATTATCTGAGTTAAAAATATTTATCCTAACACTACAAATGCTAAAGCAAACACAGTTCATTTGGCCAGAACAGGGTCATCTTCAGTCCTAAGCAAAGAGGATGAAGTCCTTTACAAGTCACTGAAGGGGAAGACTACAACCTTTAACTTTTTCAGGTCACTCAGGTGCTAGACATGATATCCCTTAGGAGATAATTTTATGAATTTACAATCGGTTTTATTTAAAAATGGCTTTTCCACCCTAACAAACATTCAATTTGCAAACAAAGATTCTGGCCACAAATAAACTCAATTTTAGCAAAGCTGTTTCCTGCAAATGCTCCAAGAAGGAGATTTAACCCATAACACATCAGACAATTTTCACAGGCAATTAGGCAATTTTAATACTATAGGAAATCAAATCTGGATACCTAATTGAATGTCGTTGGTTTCTGGCATTTTTCCTAACAGCAAGAGCTTTTTACTTTATCTGCCCTTGGATCTTTAGTGGTGTATTAGACTCATTTATGGTTTCAGGGTGTATTTACTGAAATGAGTGAAGTCTTAGAAAACTCACAAGTACTTTCAGGAGTAGCCAATTTCAGTTCATTGAGCAGCTAAAAGTAATTAATTCCAGGAGAGCTCAGCTCTCCACACTCACTGACAGTCCTTGTCCCTGGAGCCATCCCAGGCACCACCCCTGTCAGTAAGTTATTCTTACCAGAGCAGATAGATCCATCAGATCATTCCAGTCACAGCCTCACTGAAGTTTGAGATCTACAGCTACGAACCTAAATGGGTTCATGCAGACTTTGGGGTTTTCTGATGTGCTTTACTGAAATCCCCATGCTGGCGCTGTCCTGGTCCTAGATATTACAGGCAAATAAACTCCCTTTTACATGACTGCAACATACCCATCTCTTAGTCCATGCTGGATCTTCAGGTCACAGCTGGTAAAACTCTTTTCTCAGCTATGGGGCTGCAAATTAGATTTTATAATTAGTTGGAGGAGATGGCCAAAACTTGGCACTGGTTTTGTGAGAAATATGTGGGCTTGGAGCATCTGAATGAAACTATAAAAGCTATTAAGAAAAAAAAAATCTCCAGTGAAACAGAAGGCCAGAAGTACTCTGCTTTAGAACAATTTGTTTTGAAAAAACACCATCAAATTTCATACTGTATTATTTCACAGTCCAAATAACCTGTCAGAGTCTGAGCTAGCAGAACAGCCAACACCCCTTTTGGAACATTTCTTTGAAACACTGCGTAAATTTGTATTCTTGGAATTTTCATTAAAAAGTGCTAGGAACTCACAGAGAAACATATCTACTCTTTAACTTTTAGGTGCTTATATATTAGCTCGCTTCTAGAAGCTTTCCAACCAACTGCAGTAATTAGATGCCTCAGGATCTAGGGAAGCACAGAGATGGATTTTTGAAGGCACATAATGGTCTGTGTTACTATTTTGAAGATGCAAAGGTTGCTATTGCTGCAAGTGGGGAAGTGTATAAATTTACAGCTGTGCTTCTTCCACACTGTTAATGAATATGAAGGAGCCCCTACAGCTCTCCAGTTTCAAATTCCATAACCCAGCATAACTAAAATGTCCTTAAAACTTCTACAACATGAGGGAAAGACTCCCTTGATGCAGGAGAACAACAGGCTGTATGATTTCATAATAAAAAACAGTGTTTCTGCTAAGGCACACAGATTCATAAATGCAGAAATGCTCTGTGCTGACATGGCTCAGTCTCTCACGTTATAACAGCCATGACCCTCCAAACACTACACAGCAGTCAGCACTGTTTTCATGGTTAAAATAAGCTATAAAGTCAGAATACATCTGTCTTTGTATTAGTTCTGTATTAGTCTGTGTTCATACAGTACCCTCATCACTGTGAGCTGTAACACCGAGGGCAGTAGGGGGAGCTCCCCCTTTATTTGTCAGGGTTTGGGTACTTTTAAGCAGACTATCAAAGTAAAGAGACTATTGGAAAGACAACAGAAATCTTAAAATACAAGAAACAGGTCAGACTCAGTTAGAGGCTGGTCCTGCAAACATATCTGACTGTGGAACTCACTAGCCTGCAGAGCACAGGGAATTAACAGCTCCACTCAAGCTTTTAAGTATTACAAGTGGCAGAAAATATTTACTGGATCAGTACAATATAAATTCAGAACAGGAAAAACATTCATTGGCTCTGCTGAGCAAACAGTAATGGTTCCCATGCTGACCCTGCTGAAATTAATGGGAATTCAGCCTTTGAGTGATATTCTGGCTGCTCTCAGTGTCTCTAAGCAGTGCCACAAAGCACTTAGGTAAGAGGCTACAGGTGTTATTTCATGGCAATTGCTCTACAGGCAGGCAGTTATTAAAGCCCTGCAGGCAGCAGATAGAGAGGGCAGCTTGAGCACAAGTAAAACCTTCATACTCTGGCATTCCAATGAAATTGCTGCAAAGCTTTCAATTTGATGGCAAGCCTATCCCTGGCTCTGGCAAAGCCTAACTGCATAGGGAAAGCAACCTAGACAGCAGGGACTCAGCACAGATGCTGAGGCAAAGTCCTTTAATCCACAAAAGACCAGCAAAAGAAGCAAAGTTTTCCATAAATAGCAAGCACCATACCTGTCCAGTATTCCACCCCAGAGACAAAGTGGGAAGGAGCTCTTCCAACACTTTCTGCCCTCTAGCACACTTACCTCCACTTGAACCATCTTCTCTACCCCTTCCCAAGGTCCTGCTGTCAGTGAGATTGCTCATCCTTACCCACACCTCCTGCTACCCAGCAGCTGAAGGAAACTAACAGTTTTCCACCTGACAGTCCCAGCAGCTGCTGCAGAGCTACGTGACCCATATGTCATGAGGTTTATGCAGCTCCAGGAGGAAACAAGGTTTGGTGTCCTTTTGTGGAGGAACACAACACTTCTCATGTGTACCATGCAAGAGTAAACAATGCACTGGTTTATGGAGAAGAGAGAACAAGCTGCAGATTTTAGATCCAGGGGTAGGAGTTTCTCTATCAACCAATTACAGAGCATTAAACACTTAGGTGTTTGGGATTTTTTCAAGTTCCAGTATTTAGCTTTGCACAGAAATCCAACCCTGGATATGAAATGCTCAACCCAACATCATCAGAGGTCAGCTCTGATTTGAATCTGTTGCTCTTAGATGTCTCATGATTTAAATAAATTCAAGGCATTGAACCACCAAAAAACCTTGACACTATATCACCTCTGTGCAGCAAACAATTTCATCACCATACTGTAATGGCAAGCATTTTTAAGACAAATTAATTTGAAATCTCATAAATAAGAAATATAGTAAGGCTTTAGGATTGTAAAGGTTGAATTTAAACATTTAGCTTCCATTGCTAAGAACAGCATAAGTTCATACTCTATTACTGAAAACCCCAGTGGATTTATAGTAGCATCTCATTTTGCTCTATTAATCTGACTGCCCCAAGCAACTGTAATAGGCTGAGATGTCAAAGAATCATATTTATAATCTGTTGCTGCCAAGACAAATTGCTTTTGTTTGATAATAAGCCTGCTACTTCCCTTGGGATGTGGCTGCACTAAAACAACATGGTGGAGGCTTTCCATTCTGAAAGGCAGACATGCCCTTTATGAACTTTAACATAACCAATTTAATTTTTAAGGAAAATATGGCAGGTAGCCAAAGATGAATAAAATTTCCATGCTATGAGGTGAGCAATAGAAACAGAGAAGCTGTGAAAACGTGCAGCACAGTGTCTTATCAGAAATAGATACAACTGCTGCTGCTTGGATGATAAACACTTAGCAGTGAGTCTGTGTAAGTGTTGAAATGCTAATGATGTGCTAAGGGAGCTCTAGGTGATGCTGCAGAGCTGGATTATTTCTCTGCATCTGTTCACAGATACATCCTAACAAGCATCACACAAATGATTTGGACCCTACATGCTCCACAGCTGGGCTTTAAGCTATTCATAAACTTGGTGTGCAAGGTACACCAGGTTTGTCCCGGTCACATCTTTGCAGGATTAAACCTTAGGATAAGAACACAAGAATTAGCTCCCACAGGGTGAGCAAGGATGAAAAGCCCCAAGGCCTCATGACTGATAACTCAATATTCTTGAACTGTCCCCACAGTACAGGAGATGCAGCTGCCCACTCCATCACTGCTGGTACGTGGACAAGGGCACAATTACCACAGAAGAGATGTTCTGGGTCATTTCTATCCCTTCCTGACCATATTTTGTGCATTTGTGCAATCTTTAGACTGTGAATTACAGAAGACACCAGATGATTTACAGATCTTGTATCTTACTTAAACTAGAACTCAGTTTGCTACAGCATTTTCTGCTCAAGGAAAACCCCAAGCAGAGACTTTAGGGTCTGTGCACAAATGTAGTAACTTTTCTCCTGGGCTTTCTCTTGCCTTCTCTTCAAACACATCAGTGTCACCTTGGATGGTGTCTCCAAAAACATTGATGAGAGTACCCTCTCACTGTAATTTTACCTAATTATACACTGTCTTTGGCTGCCATAAACTTTAATTAAAAGTACTGTGGTTTTACGTGTTTGCATCATTATAGCTCCATAATAATCTCATCATAGAAGACTCTCCAGAGGCTTCTCCTGGAACCATTCCACGATCACTGTGACATTCACCCTGTCCCTGAAGTGAAGCCTCTGGGCTATGACCTCACTCCAGCACTTTAGAAAGGACACACCTCGTGTCCAGAACAGATGGATTATTTCACTATGGGAAGTTAGAAAAGCAATCAGCAGCAAATCAGCTGAAGTCCCTCCTCACTGTTTTTTGTTGCCTTTAGCCTAAGCTCTGAAGCATAACCACGTCTGTGTCTTCTGTCAAGGACTGTTTCCTTGGAAAGGAGGTGGCTGGAGCCACCTGATCTCAATCTTCAGGGTTTGCATCACCAACCTGTAATTAACTTTCTTCCTTCCAATACATGACCCCAAGTACCCTAACAACATGAATTAATTATACCTTTCAGATACCTCAAGGCCAATTTAATAGTCTTAAATTTCCTAGTAGAGAACTGAAAGCCCAAGGGCTCCCTAACTCCCTGAGGTAAATCAGTGGCAGAACCAGATCAGAATCTGGAAGTATCAAGCCTGTCAACCACAAAGCTACTCTTTTCTTCTGCTGTATTTGTCTTTAAACCACAACACATTTATTCTGACAAAAATTAGCAGTAAACCAATGCCCAAGCACCTATGGATGCAGGAACTCTAGCAGTGCTCACTATTAATACATGAGATGCACAAAAAATAAAAATATCCTGGCTCTGTTCCCAGAGCTGCTCTACTGTCACTACAAATAACCAGAGTTAAAAGAGAGGATGTCTTTGATCATTACGTTTTCTGCAACCAGAAAAACATTAGTGGAACTGAACGGGATTATTTTTAAGAAATATGCACATACCTTTGATAGCAAAAACTCCGTGACAGAAGTCCTTAAAATTGATTCTTCCCAAATCATTCGGGTCCAAGTACTTTGCCAGTTTTTCCACCTAAAATAAAAGATGATAAAATATGTGTTGTGTTTGGTGTATGGTCTGTTGCTCTGATACAGTCTGTATCTTCTACAGAAGACTACAAGTTGAAGAATACTCACACTGTTCACTTGAACCAGCCAATAAATGGTTCTGCAAGGAGAAATCATGTCTTGTATGACCTTGGTGCTAACCAAGGCATGTGCCTGACCAAAACTTCTTCAGCTGGGACACATCAATCCTGTCCCATGGGGATCTCAAGAGGTTAATAAGGGGAGAATCTGTGATTTATGCTCTCACCATAGAGCAGGGTGCTAACAGAATCTCTTGCCTAGGAGCTCTTGCCATGCATTCAGCTCAGAGGAACTTAAAATTTAGTGGTTCTCCACCCCCTCCTATCACAAGTTCTCAGGGAAGGGGAAAGGACAGACCAAGATGTGCACAGCCCATCAGTCTCATTCCCTAAATAATCTAGATTACAGGAGAGAAAACTCATTGGGCACGTGGAATGAAACCAAACTCCCTTGACACAGCAGAGAATATAATTTTTGTGTAGGAAAATTAACAGTACAAAAATATATTCATGTGATGAGAGAATGGTTGTTTCTAGTACACAACCACTGTTGGCATTGTACAAACAAGCAATGTACTTACTCCTTATAATCTCAGCTCCACAGTTTAGTCTTTCTGATCATTATTCACCAATAGAATGAGATTATACTGAATTTAAGCCCAGCCACCAAATTAGTACTTGCCCCAAAAACGGTCTGGCAAATTTTTCAGGAAGGTTTTGGGATAGAGGAAGAAAAGCAGCCTAGACTGGAGAGGTTCTTGTGCTGTCTAGAAAAAAAAGGAATGGAGAAACAAGTAGCCAAAGAAGCATAAAGTGAGAGGCAGACCAGTGCAGGGAGGTGAGTGCACACCTGGACCCACAGCTGGCTGCTCTTTCTGACAACCACTCTGCTGGAGCTTGAGCACATCCCCTTGTGTGCCAGTGCCTTTCCTGCAGCACCTTGCAGGGACCCTCACTGAGGCACAGGCAGCCTCTTACTGCTCCTAAGAGCTCACAGGCAGCTCCACACAACCCTGCCCTTGGCTGGGCCCTCCAGACACCCAGGAGTTTGAACAAGCTGAGTGCAGGACAGCAGGAGTGGAGGAGGCCACACAATCCTGCTGCAGCACCATGTGTGTGAGCTCAGACATGTCAGCCTGAGCAGCAACAAAAGCCCAGCTGCAAAGATGCAGCAAATGAATCCAGATGACCTAGTTTCTCAATTTTCTGGTGTGTTTTTTTCCCACGTGCTAGCAAAACCCAGCAGTTTCCCAAAGCCCTGCAGATAATGCACTCATGTGTGAGCATGACACTTCTTACAGACATTTCTCAGTGCCTATAAATTCCCTCTGTACCAATAACTGCCATGATAAGCCAAAGGGCTCATTTAGAACATGCAAATCTGGATGAAAAAAATGAAAAAAAAAATTTATTTATACGCAAAATTCTATATTGAATGAGAAAGGTACAATTTGATCCTTAAATTGAATCCTTTCCCCTCTCATTTTCTTAGGGAAAATAAAAAATCAGCTTGTATAGGGAGGGCAAGTAAGGAGCTATATGATGAGTTCAGAGCCCATGACAAGTTAGACATTTTTTTAAAACTTTCATATTGCAGGAGGCTTCCGCAGCTGCAGTCCTGCCAGCTGGGCAACAGAGCCCAGATATCAACTATGGTGTGACTCATGATCAAATTTCCACCCTGGCATCACAAGGAATTACTGTAACCCCACTAATTCAGAGCACCTGAACACACATCTGTGTTTCCAAAAAGAAAACTGCTTCACCAGAAACCTCAGTTTGTGGTTAATGCACACCAGACTAGCTGAAAATCCTGACTGAAACCAATTAAGTAGAGACATGCTTGATATGGAAAATCCAGGTTGGTGTTATCCCTGTCACCTTCACAAATAACAATTGTGTTTTAAATTTTAATGCACAGATTCCTGCAGCCAATTGGGAAGCCTCTAGTCTATTTAATATTGTGCTATAACACAGTGGTGTCACTGGGTGTTCCCAGTGAATCTGGCACTTTTAAGTTTATTTCTCAAAGTTGATCCAATGATTTTTGTCCACCAGCTGCTCAGACATTTAAAATTACACTTTTAAAATCAAATTAAACGAGATGTTATGTGCCTGGGAGTGTGTATTATGGAGGAACAGAGGATATGTTCATATTTAAGTCTAAGCAATGTCTTAAGAGTAAATGAAATTATCACCTGAGCAAAGTGCTTCAGTGTCCAGTTTCCCCTAAATCTAATTTGCAGGTTTTCAGTGGGATATTACAATGCAAATAACTGACATCAGTGCAGGAGATGATGAAGAATTTACAGAACAGCCTGATGGAATTAAAGCTAGCAGTGCTCACATCTTCAGCCAGGAATAAACACAGCTCCCATCACAGGTCAGGGGATAAAAGGATTTTGATCACCAGGGACTGAGTTTGGGTGGATACTTGCACAGGGTTTGTGCATTAATATACACACAGATTTGGTACATAAATCCCTGCATACTTGCACAGGGTTTTCAAGCACCTGCAGTGCACTTGATCGTGCATTTTTACCAATCACTTGCTGGAATAAGGCAAGAAGCTCTTCCTTGTTAATTCTAGACTGAAGGCATTGCTTTAAGTGAAATTTCAATCTGTGGCCAAATAAACTACAGCTACCCCTAAATCTTCTCTGGTGTGCACACTCTATAAACCACCCTTCTACTTCACTTTGTAGAGAAATAAAGTCCTCTCCTCCTCCTTCTCAGAAAGAGTTGGCTCCCCACAATGAATCAGAAGCTGTTTTATTTATTCATTGCCTTGGGAAACTTATGGATCTGTCAGCCTACCTGGCAGGCTGTGAGACACTGAAGCCTTTTTTGCAGTCAACAACCTCCTGGGACTGGGGCAGTCCACAGCCCCTGCCAGGCAATGAGGGAACAGCAGCCCTGTCCGTGATAATGGCACAGGTGGCACAGCCCAGGTGGGACACGCAGGATGGGCCAGTCCTGGGCACACTCAGACTCCCGGGCCCACATCTCTGGGCTGTGCTGGGCTTTGCTCATCCCCTGGCAAGGGACACAGGGCCACAAAACCACCTGCTGCCAAAATTCAGTGTGAAATGAGTGTGTGATTGTTACCTACAGGCAGCACAGGGAGCATGGTGTGCTCCAGAGTTTGACATCAGAAGTCATCACAATGAGTAGGGGCAGTGTTTTGGGCTGGGAACACTCTGCACAGAGCAGTCCCCCACCATGTGGGATAGACAGCACAAACAAGGATTGCAAACTAGTTCTTCACTGTAGGAAGTGAACAAAGGCAGAAAAAAATGAGCTGCAGGCTCAATAATGCAGCTGGTTCTTTTGGCAGCTGCAAGTGTCTCTAATGAACACTTCAGTAGCCATCCAATAGTCAGAGAGAAGACATAAATCTGAGAGAGAAGGAAGAAATAATTTTTCTTTGGGAAACAGCTGGAGAAAACCAAACCTCTGTCCCTATTGTTTAACTCTCCTGGATGAATGGGTGATTACCCTTTCAATTCAAACATGTTTCTCCACTGGAACAACTGCTCACTTCAGCCAAGATGCTGCCTCCTGTCCCTTGGTGTCCCAGCCATCCTGACTGCCCTGCAAAGGCTGCTTGCCCCGTGCTGCTGCCTGACACACAACAAGAGGCTGGGAACACTTGAGAAAGCAGAATGGAAAGGATGTTTGTAGCCGAGGGAGAGGAGAAAGGGGAGAAAAGAGGACAAACCACTGACAGACCTCAGAAGACATCTATTGAAATGGATCTTCTCTTGCAGGTGAGTTCAATACCGGGGCACCTGTGCTGAATAGCCAAGGAACCCTCTGCAGACCCCTGGCCAGCTCGTGTACTGAAGCTGCCATCAGTACTTTTTCCAGCAAAGATTTTCTGTTTGGAACTGAATCCTGCTTCCATTCACAGGCAAGAAGAAACTCAGACCTCTATTGACCTCACTTAATTTTCTTCAAAAAATAAGAGATTTTGTTAACACAAAAAACATTTGTAAGATTTAGAACTAATTGAGTTCAGAGGGACCCCACACCAGCTCTATCCACTGAAATCTTGCAGCAGGATCCAAATCACAGCCAGAAGATGCCATTTGAAATAAACAACTTGTCTCAGTAATTTGCCTTCATACTGCAGGAGTCTGTGAGCACGTCTCACCCTGAAGTGTGAGCAGGGAGCACCTGGGAGCTGTGACAAAGGCAACACAACATTTTCAGGAAAAGGTCAGGCTGTGCTGTGGCAGTGACATTTGGGCAGGATCTCCTGAGGCAGAAGCATTTGTGAGAAACCTCAAAAAAACAGCAAAAGGAGATTAAACATGTAAATGCCGCAGGGTGGAATTAGAGAGCTTCCCACATGATTTATAAAAGGAGCAGCAGAACTGCACTTGCCCTGGTTTCAACAGACTGGCCTTTCCCACATTGGAAAGGGTCTAAGTTTACACCTGGACAGCTGGAAATGCTGCTCTGGCTGCAGGGCTGGGCAATGAGGCCACCACATGTGTGAGAGCCACCCCTGTCCTCTTCACCACCCCTGGGTTCAGGTGTTCTTGGCACTGATGTGGTCCCAGATGTTGGAGCTCTTCAGTCAGAAGGGCTGTCTTTGATGAGATGGGATTTATAGATGGAGGGGGAAGTAATGAGATTTCACTCTGATATTGTGGCATTTCAGGGAAGCAACACAACAAGAGGGAAGTAATTTTACATTGCATTGGAGAAACTAGCACTTACACAGTTGTGGTATCCACTATCATATGAGATGCTGAAAACACACACGTTGCAGAGAACTGACATACAATTAAAACATCTTATGCAACCAAAAAGAGAGTTTTCTTCTGTTTAATTTGGCAAAAGGGAGATCAAATGATCATTTGTTACTAGGTATAAAGACTTCTGCAAGCAGGGAACTACAGGTTCAAAAAGACTAGCAGAGGGGAGACATAAAGGA